TATATATATATATATATACTTTTTAAGATTATACCTTCCATCTGGCTGCAGTGTACAAGCATGTGTCCCAACTGCTAGGGAGGCTGAGGCTAGAGGATCTCTTAAGTCCACGAGTTGTGCAACTTAATGAGATCCCATCTGGAAAAACACGCACGTGCACAATCCCCCCTCCCCTCCCAAAACCAATCAAACAAAAATACTGCTCTTTTTAAAATAAAATATTAAATATGTTTTTTTATAGTAGCATCTTCATTTTTCAGATTTTAAAATCTGATTCATTGTATCAGATATTTTCCTTTGTACATTCAAAATTATTTTCTTTTTATTATAGGCATGTATTGCAAGAAATTGCTATCCTTCTCCTCTGAATTATTATAATTTCCCAAAGTCTTGTTGTACCTCAGTGAATGAAGTCATTTGTCATGGAATTCCAGACAGACGACCTTTGCAAGAAGGTGATATTGTTAATGGTAAGAAATATGTGAATGTGATTTTTGTTACCATGTGCAAAGAAATATCCTGGGAATCTGTTAGTGACTTTAGTTTTCTTGATTTTATTCCTATACGTATGCTTTTTTCTACTTAAAATTTAGTATCATTTTAAAATCTGTGGAAGCTTTTTTTATAGTTTTGTGTAGTGTTTTTAAGGTATATCAAGAATAATGCATATGGAGTAGTATATAGTATTCCTTTAATGCTTATCTCATACGGTAAGTAAGTAAAAGATGTCAATGAAATGAAGTAATGTTGAGTGTATTGCATTTTTTAAGTCCACTATTAGTTTTGAAGAGATCAGGGTAGGCTTCCTTAACATGTAATGGAAACCTTTAATAATAAATGAAGACCTTTAGATAACAGTGCAAATCTCATAGAAGCACCTTTCCTGAGTGGAGTGGCTTTGGAAAACTCTGCTGTGCTATTTTGGGGAGCTACAAATGTAAAGGAGAAGCTGCAAAGGCATTTTTCCTGTGGGCTTTAAAAACGGAATTGGCACAGGCTCCCCCAGTGGCGTTTTTAATATTGTTGCAATTAGTTTACCTTTCCGTAAGAAGTCTAGGAAGCATGAGGCCAAATGTTAAAGATTGCTCAGAGTTGACCAATTAGGATGGTGGCTGTGAGTGATAGAAGAGATTTAATCATGATATGATACTATTTTTATTGCAGTTGTTATTACTTCAGTTGCAGTATTTGTTTAGAGTCCCCTAGGTTTTGAAGACAATGCCCCCCTTTATTTCCTCTCTTCCTTTATTTCTTCTTTTCCTTTTTTTTCTTTCCCTTTCCCTTTTCCTCTTGTCAATCTGTCCACCCTTCCTGGGGATCCCTAGCCCTTTTCATTTTCTATTTTTATTTTTAGACTTATGAGTCTCACTAAATTGCTTAGTTACCCAGGCTAGACATGAATTTAGGATTCTCCTGCCTCAGCCTCCCAGAGTGCTGGAATTACAGATAGGCATGTACCACCACATTAGGCCCTGTTTTTCATATAAGCCTTATTTTTATTACATGTTCAGTGTATGTAAGTAAAAATAGTATTTTGTTTAATATGAAAATGTAGCAGAGTGCTGTTTAATATTACTCTTGTTATTTATCTGGATAATTGTATCCTGCTTAACTTTTTCTCTGCTACACAGGAGCTAATTATTATAACCACCTACTCCGCATGGCCTTTTGCTGTGCTTCACTGTGAGCATGGTTGAATTACCCTCAAGGAGTTTCTGTTCAGGGATAAGCACAGATTCACTGGTGTATACTCTGAGACTGCAGAAAATTTTTTTTCATTAAGTTGCTTGATCCTCTCATGTTGGAAAAACTTTCTCTTTTGAAATAGATCTACTCTTATTTTGAAGTGAAAACAGATATCTTTATATTTGCATATTCTTTTGCAGTGGACATCACTCTTTACCGCAGTGGTTATCATGGGGACCTGAATGAGACGTTTTTTGTTGGAGATGTGGATGAGGGAGCACGGAAACTAGTGCAGACAACATATGAGTGCCTGATGCAAGCCATTGATGGAGGTCAGTCTCCATGGTGGGCACCCATGGGCACTGCTCTGTGTGGATGGGCTGTGAGTAACCTGTCACTGTAGTAGCCTGTGTTTTCTGTGCCTACCAGCTTTGCCTCTACCTGTGCACCTATGCCATGTGAATCAGCTTTGGGTTTTTGTTTAATGGGATTAAAGATGATCTTGGAATCCCTTGACAAGGGTGGACGAAGTGATTGCTCAGTATCCTATCCTGTCTCTTCTGAGATTTATCTTCTATTTCTTTGCCTGATAAATGAGGAGTGTGTAGATGGTTCTTTAGAGCAATTTTTATTTCTGCTTTTTATTCGAGTTGGTAAGGATTATGTTCTCTTTATAGAAAATTTATAAGACTGTAGATTTTTAAGAGGAAAAGAAAGGAGCCTCCTTTATATTTGTTTCCTGTTTGCTTTTCATATCTCTCTTCTCTGTAGAGGTATCCATTGTTAATATCTAGTGTCTTTTTCCTTTCTGCTAAGCTTTAAGGCATACACAAGTGTGTGTATATGTTTAATTAGATTAAATGGAATCATTTGTAATAATCTGTAATTTGGATTTTTTTCAACTAATATCTTAGAAATCTTTTACTATATTAGCATGTGTACCTACATAAACAGAGCTACCTGATTCTTTGGATATATAATATATATTTCATATAAAATTTCCTTGAACTTAGGAAAGTACTGTCCACAGCATTGTAAATGTCATTCTTGCCTCCTTTTCCCCATAGTTAAAAAATGCTCATTTAACATGTTCCCTACCCTAGTGTAGAGCATTAGAGAGTTAGAAAAGTTGTAGAAATTGACTTTCTAGAGTAGGATTTCTGAGTGTATACATTAATGGCATTTTTGGGGACCTGACAATGCTTTGTTGGATGGGGATTTTCTTTATTATATACTATTCAGAATGGTTATGACTTTATGTATGTCCCCAGTGCCCCAAACCAGGGCTGATGGAATGTTCTGGATAAGAATGAAAGAAAATTATTCAAAACTCAGTGGTTTCAAAATCAGAAGCTCCTCTCCTCCTGCCAAAAAAAGTCACCATATGGAATATGTGGATGAGAGGAAATTAAAGTATTGGTTAAAATACAACTCCTTAAGCTATTAAGCCAGAAATTTGATTGGATAGGGAAACTATGTTGTAGCTGAACCTCTGGTTGGAAATCAGACTAAGATTGTAGGAGTTAGAGGTCATCCAGAACCGTAGCTTGATTCTCTAGGAGTCAGGCAGTGCTCCACTCCTGAAATCTTAAGTGCTAAGACAGCCTTGACAGTAATGAGAACTATTTCTTTTCTTTTTTTTTTAATCCGTACTAAAAGTTGTAAAAATTAAATATTAAGTATATAGTGAAAAATACTTTTCTGGGCCCTAGAACCTGTTGCAAAGGCAGCTGTGAATAGAGAACCTTTTTTATGGGGTTTATAAAGAGGCCCAGGGGAAGTGATTCTTTCAGAACTTGACCACACTGCAACTGCAACATGAAACAAGTCAAGTTACTTTGTGGACATTCCTTTTTCTCCTGGTACACTTTCCTCTCTTAACTCTTCTGTTCTATAGAATAGAATAGAATAGGATATTGATCTTAGAGAAGAACATGAAGAGAAATGTATTTTTTATTCTATCGTTTAATGTCTGCTACTAGAGAAAGCGAAAGGTGCTTATCTCCACTTCCATAATATTGCAGGGTGTCAACTGAGGTGCTCATGCTTTGAGTTAGACCTTTGCCATTTACTGGCTGTGTAGCCTCTTTGTGTGTTGGTCTCCTCATCTGTAAATGTAGGCATGAAGACATATAAAGTACTTAATAAAGGTCCTTGACACATAGATATTAATTTCTTAGTGTTGTTTATTACTCTTTGTCATGAATTGTCTCTTTTTTCTTTTAGTGAAACCTGGTGTTCGATACAGAGAATTGGGAAACATTATTCAGAAGCATGCGCAAGCAAATGGATTTTCAGTTGTTCGAAGTTATTGTGGGCATGGAATCCATAAGCTTTTTCATACAGCTCCCAATGTACCCCACTATGCCAGTAAGTACTAACCAAAGATTTGGTACATGCTATTCAATAAATTTATTCAATAAATATATATTCAGACATTTAATAAGACCTACTATTTTGTATTCATTAATCTATTAGCTACAACAAATAGGTCCCCAGAATATATCTTTGTTCAAATACAAGTTCAGGTCTTGCTCATGTGACAGTCCAAGGCAGGTCACTGTGGGAGTATGGCCCAGGCTCTGTCATCTTCAGTTTATGGCTTTCTGGGTCACCTTGGGAGTTGTCCTCATAGAGTATAGTGCAAGAGGAAGGAAAGAACCTTAGAAAGGGTATACTTGGGCATTTGTAGTGAGCCTGTGTGGAGTTGGCATGAGTTTTTTGCATTTGTTTTCCATTGTCCAGGAATTCAGTGACGTGGTGATAGGGTTGGGAATGTAATCTAGCTGGGTACCTTTAAGAAAAGTGAACAGTCAACAGTCTGCCCCAGGTCTAGCCATCACTGTTCTGTTTCCTTTAGTGTAAATCATGGTTTGCTGTGGGTTCTTAATGTAAGTAAGGTACTGTACTATTTTTGATATAAATAGAGGGGAATAAACAGTATTTTTCCTTAATTTCAGAGCAGTATGATAGACTAATGAAGTGTAAGACAGGTCTTCTAGAAACCTTTTCTGTGTGGAGATTAGACATGTGCAGGAATGAGTCTGTATTTAGTGCTGTAAGTGAAATCCAATATGAGTGATCTAAGAAGGTAACACGTATCTTCTGTCTATCCATCTATCTACCCACGCACCTATATGGAGAGAGAAAGCTGTTTCCATATAAACATTCTCATGGATATCCTGTATAACTGGGAGGTTAAAATGAATCTTTTAAAACTAGGATTTTTTTTTTAAAAAATAAACTTTCCCTAAGCTTCCTAATGTTGAGTGTAAACACCTCCACGCCCACCCCTCCATGTCAAGGAGGATGTAACACTTCCAACCCTCTTGGTCCTATCTTGATTAAATCTGTATATGGATATTTCTTGGCTTTTGTTCTACTCCTTCTATAAATTGGAATTCTTTTATGTTTTTGAAGCAAGCCGTGCTGGATACCCTTCTAATTTAGCCAAATTGTAAATAAATGTATTTTTCCATTTTTGTGGGCTTTTCTTATACTCTTGGTTGTGGGTGGGCAAATGAACCCAGAAGCCAAGACAGCTGCTGACAAGCTCTGGCCAGTAACGCCTGTGCTTAAGTTACCTCATACAATAGGAGGGGGTAGTAGCTAATGAACTGGTATTAGGATTAAGTGAGATATTACATGGAAAGCATTTAGAACTCTGCATGATTTATAGTACTTGAGAAGCACCTAATGTTCACATTTAGATGATATCACAACTCTGAATACAGATATTCCTCCTTTAATGACCCACCAATTTAATGACTATTTGGACTTATAACCCAGCACTTGGACTTCTGACATGCCTTTAAACTTACTACTACACAGAAGTATGAGTGGCAGTGTGGCCTTATGATGGCTTCTACAGTAACAGTACTATAATTGCTTATTGTACTATACAGTACAGTACTATAGTTTTATGTTCTGCCATACATTACAGTGTTACATATAAGAGTTATGCAAGTAAAAGCAAAGTCATCAAGTGGAGTTTCCTTTGACCATTTCTTTGTTCTGAATATTGTAATGTACATACTGTGTACAAGTCCTCATTTAGCAACTAATTCATTTATCAAGCAGGAACAGAGCTTGATTGTTAAATGAATGTCTATAATTTGATTTTGGTTGATTATCACAACTCTGAATAATTTCTCAGCCCTCTTTTTGAAAGCAGCATCTGCTTTACTCAAATTTACACATTCTAGTAAACAAATCCCAGGTATCCCATTGATCACCTGGTATTAAGACTAGTATCTCGATGTCTCCCCAAAGCCTCATGTACTCATAGGTGGAACTTTTTGGAGTGGTTTGATCTAGGGTGTGTAAATATAGATTAACAGTGTGTGATAATTAGTCTAGCATAGTTCTGGGTGTGGATAATGGAAGCCCCACCCTGGGTGTGGGTGGCACTAGTCAGTAGGCTCTAAATAGGAATATAATAGGAATATAAAGGGACAGAAAGAAGGTGGGCTTATTGCTTGCTGCTTCCTGCCTGCTGTGCCATGGACTATTTCTTTTTTGTGATGCCCCACTGGCATGCTGCCCCACCTTGGAGCCAGCTAAGATGTACTGAAACCTCTACAAACTGTGAGCTGAACTAGACCTTTCCCCCTTTAACTTATGACTGTCAGGTATTTTGTCTCAACAATGAGAACAGTAACTAAGACACCTGGGATTAGTCTGTCTGGCTGGAATCAGTCATTTCTCCTTAACTTCATGCTTCTTTACAATAAGGCCTGAAGCAGTTGAGCACTGGACCTTATGGTACAACTAAAGCATGGTTGAGATGGCCTTCTGTGTGGAGGAAGTCTGAATAAGTGCTTCAAGTTGAGACCCAACAGAGACAAGATAAGCTTGGCTGAGTGTTACATTTTGAGTACTAGCAATAGATAGGGTGGGGTGTGTGGAATGACAAACTAATGAAGGCTGACTTCATCTTTAGGAATCTTAAGAAACATTTTGGGACAGAATAGAATGATGAAGCTTGTACTTTGGCAAGACTAATTTGGCAGTGTGTCTAGGATGTGTTGCACATGAATGGTATTCAAGATAGCCAGCAAGATTCTCAGTTACTACTTGTGGTCCAGGTGTGAAATGGTAAAATCCTGAACTTTGATAGTCAAGAGGATAAAGTCAAGTGAGTGAGAAACCTTTTAAGAGGACAAGCTATGCATCTAATGTATATTGATAAGCATTTATTAGAGACCCTGTCATTCTGTGAATCATGCTTGAAATAAAAGCAACAGAAATCAAGTAACAGCTGTTGATTTCTGTAATCATCTGAACGTACATTCCTTTTCACAAATGGAAGTTGCCATCCTCCCTCTCGCCCCCATTTTTTACTTTTTTTTTTTTTTTTTTTTTGAGGAAGGGTCTTGCTATGTAGTTTAGGCTGGCCTTGAAAGTCACTATGTAGTTCAGACTGGCCTCGAACTCATGGTAATCCTCCTGTCTTAGTTTCCTAAGTGCTGTGATAACAAGTGTGCACCATTCCTGGCAGAAGTAGCTATTCTGATTCCTGTGTATGTACGTGTAAGAGAATGTGCAGAGGAAAAATGAAAAACATTCTCTTAACATGAATAGGCAACAAAACTTGGGTTTGGGTATGGATGAGAGAGACAGAGACAGATTATAAGACAATAAGGTTTATGGAAGGAGATTTGGATCCATGATAGTGACACCAAAGTGTCACTGATGGACAAGAGATGCTACCTGAGTTTCATGCTAAAGCATTTAATTACAGGTAAACTATGCTGAAGAAAGAAGCAAGGACTAGGTATACTTTATTTTATACATTTGGTATATTTATGAAAAATCAAGTGTAAATTAGATATATGTAAGTCAAAATGTGATCACTTAGGGAAATGTGAAAGGAAACTGCTTAGAGATTATTATTATTATTTTTGTGTAGTAAAGATGCCTTTTAAATGTTGATCTCTGCTTTGATTTGTAACTTTATATTCTTAACCCAATTGAGAGAAGATCAGGAAAATGTTGTGTAACTTTCCTGTACCCCTTCTAATGTGAAAAGGGTCTTTGATAGGTGAATTTACTTGTTTCATTTCAGTCATTGTTGGAAAATAATGATAATAGACCCAACATTTACAAAATAGATTACAGTATTTCTGAGATAGATGGGACAGCAGGTACAACTTTTTAAAGAATTGCCTAGCATTCTCTTTGCAATAGTATAGTCCTCAGATAATATGTACTGTATTTGTTAAGTGAGATATGTTGAAAAACAGAAACTTTCAGATTGTAGGAAATAAGCAGGAGTTGTAACTTTTATAGAATAATGAATCAGTAACAGAAACAGGAGTGAAACATGGATTCTTTGTATCAGCACTCTCTAGTGGAAATATTACGAGGCACATAGATAATTTATAAATTTCCATATTATGAATCAAAAAGTATGGATACACTTTATTTTAATACTATATTTAACCTATTATACCCCAAATATTGTTTCAACATTTAATGAGCATAAAATTACATGAAGCTTCAGATTTTGAAATTTGCTGTGTTGCATGGATAGCCCAGCTGTTTCTGACTAGCCACTTTTCAGGTGCTTGGTAGCTGCACATGGCTAGTGCTGCAAGATGAAACATTGTGGCTCTAGCTAGATTCCTTTATCCTTTGTGTTCTTTCTGTAGTACAGACACTGTTGACTATTTTTTGTTGTGTTGTTATCTTCTTGGGAATATAAACCACTGCTGTGTATGTAGTAAGTCCTGTGTTATTTTGAGAAAGTTTGTGAGATTAGAAATGAAAAATCTAGTTCAATCGTTCTGTTGCTTTAAAGGTTTTACACAAATTTGGAAACTCAGAATCTGCTGCGAGTTTGTTTTGGAAAGCAGCGTGATAGCTGTTCACCAGGACATAAGCATGTTGGTGAGGTTAGATCATACCTAGAAAAGAGTGGCCTTAGTGGTTGAGTTCAGTAGACCTATTTGCTGTTCCACTTGTGGCTCACAGCCTCACAGAGGAAAAGGAACCCAAAAGGCCAATGTCATCTGGTGGTCACATTGCATAAATGCTAGTTATTCATTTAGGTGATAGCTTTATCATTCTTGTTTTTAATTTGAAATTTAAATAAATTTTCCATTTTTGTCCAGGATTGTCTAAAAAGCCATTATCCCTGTTTTTGAAGTTCTTGGGCCTTTTTTGGAGGACCGGCAGGTCTAGACAGTTCAATTCATAATTGTGTTTCTCATGTTGGGCCTGCAAAAATACTCTCATGTTAGTAAACTTGGAGCAAAGCTAAAAATCAAAATAAAACAAACCAAAAATTCCCAAACTCAAACACAGCAGAAAACCACAACGGCACTTGGAGGAAGAAATGGAACATCTCTTTCAGTATTTTTTTTTTAAAAAAGCTGACGAGTGTGCAAAAACTTTGTTCTCATTTTTAAGATGAGAAAAAAGACAATTTTTATAAAACAATGAAAATCACATACAGTAATTGCTTTTATAAGCTGTGACCCTACATAGAGACATACTCTCCTTCCAAGAAAGTAGGAAATTAAGGCATAAGTCAAAACACCTGTCGTTCAAACCTCTTTTAAACATGAATGAGAGATGGCACTTGGCTTATTTCTGTGATTACGTTTCTAATCTACAGTGCTAGATTTTTAGAATTTCTCTTTTATATCATAACTGGAAATCCAGCTAGTGGATGACTGTATATTTTAACATAGAAAACATAAGCAGAATGAAATATGCCTAGAGTAATAATCTGCTTCAAAGTAGCTGATTATTGGCGTACTACTTGTTGAATGATGTACTTTAAAAAAGAGAATCAGGAGAGGAGAAAGTAATAAAGAGTCACTGATGGGAACATACACTACATACTTTTGTTAACTGTTCAAGACATTTGGTGTTTGCTATCTTTTGAGGTGCTTTTTTTCCTTTAATTTCAGAAAATAAAGCTGTTGGAGTGATGAAGTCGGGCCATGTATTTACAATTGAGCCAATGATTTGTGAAGGTGAGAAAACATGCTGTAATATGGTTTAATTGAAGTTTTATCTATTTTCACTTACTCATCAGATCAGTAGTCTGTTCTGCTTGCTTTCTTTATTCCTGTTTCCTATCCCATCTTGAACTTGATTCTCGAACTTAAATGTAGAGAATTGAACATTGTTAAGTGTTGGCTGCAAGTTGATATTTTCTACATGGTAATTCTTTGCTGTCAGTAGGTGCTGAAATAATTGAATCCTGGTCACTCTTCATGAAGATCAAATAATTAGGAACCTATGTCAAGTCTGAATAGATATTCTTGCTTGACATAGGAGGGGAAAGAGGAGGCACAAAGGAGAGTATTTCTTGAGGCAGACATGGTTATATGATTTAAATCTGCTCAGGTTAATGAGCAAAATGTTATCCCCGTTACATAGAGCGGTCTGATTGTTCCAGAGGCTAGCTTGCCCAAGTAACTTAGCTACTTAGGTGGCAGAATTTGTTAGACTCTCGGCTTGTGAGCTTCCCTCTCTTCAGAGTTTGCCCTCATGTTGTCCTGTGACATTACACAGAATTGTGCAGAAAGTGCAATCCTGACAAACTTAGCTGTAGCCGTTCACACTGTTGGGATTCTCTGTTACAGGCATATGGCAGTGGTGGTAGGCTTAGTGTTAGGACCTGAGCTGATCACAGAGCTGTCAGAGTGATGGTCAGACAATAGCTGGGCTGTTCTCTGGTAGTTCTTTGTTGGGTTTATAGTATGCAAAATGACTCATTGATAGTAGGGCCAGTGTATCTTGAGCCCTGTGTAAAAGGTTACCTCTTCTCTGGGTCCTCTTAGTTTTTTTGTTGCCTAATCCTGAGAGTGATTTCCATGTTCTTTTCCTTAGAAGTGAGTCACTAAATCTAGCCCATACTCAGAGGAAGAGTGGACCAAACAAAGTCATGATACCAGGAGATGGGGATCACAGGAGACATTCCTAACCTGATTCTTACTACCTTTTCTCCCATCCAAGTACTAACCAGTCCCAACCCTGCTTAGCTTCGGAGATCAGACGAGATTGGGTGTGTTCAGGGTGGTGCGGCTGTAGACTTTTACTACCTTTTCTGTAAAATGAAAATTACAATCCTTATCTAGTCAGCATCTGAGAGCTGCTGTAAGAATGAGTTGATATTAATGTCAAGTACAGTGACCCTTGAGTTAAGACTGGCCTGACATATGAACAATTTGGGTTATGTCTGGAATTTTAGTTTTAACTTACAACCAAAGTCTTGAGTTATGACCTAATGCCAGCCGCTTGTGCTTCCAGATGTTCTCAGATACAGATCTAACCCTTAAAGAGTTCTGGAAGGAACATTACATCTTTTCTTGTGTGAGGATGAGAAATCCTGGACCAGTGTCTCTCTAAGGACACTGACATCGGCCTGACCTCAGATTTTGATGGTTGGTTTTTTTTTGGTACTGGAGATCGAACTTGGGACCTTGCGCTTTCAAGGCAGGCGGCAGAACCACTGAGCTAAATCCCGGCCCTGAAGGTTGTGTAGAGGAGCCTGAGCCTTCAACTGACCAACTTGAGTTATAACTAGCCCTTGGGAATGCATTGAGTTTGTAACTGTTCACTGTACTTTATTTTAAGGTCAAATGTAACGTTTCTCTTATCACAGCAGAATAAGAAAGTTCTGAACAAAAGCATCCATTTTTGAGGCCTGGTAACAGTGGAAAGAAAGACAATGGGAGGAAAGTGTTGTTTAGTTGCACACTTTCATTAACTGGCATGTGCGATTGGTGAGACATAATATAGTATTTCTAGAAGTAAGCAAATACCTTTCTAAAGAACTGGTTCAGATAATTAAATTTTAACATATACTTAAGTGCAAGTCAATTAGGTTAAATTCCAGCTCTGGAATAGAAAGTCTCAAATTTTCTCAGAGTAATAGCCAAGCAGGTATAACTTGACATTACTACAGAACCTGTTTTTGTCAAATCACAAAGCAGTAATATGTCTTAAGTCCATTTGTGTAAAGATCATTACATTGAAAAATAACCTGTTTACTCATCTTTTCAGTGTTAGACAAAGCATGAGTTAACTTCTTTTGAGCTGCCTCAAATTTTCTTTTTAGTCTGAGATACAATATTGTGACACTAGATTACATATGACAAATGGAGTATGTTCTGGGATTTGTCTGAGTCAGTGAGGGGTCAGAGTTATCTGTTTCAGTTGAAGATTACTTAAAGAATATATTGATTTTTTTGACATCTTAATTTGAAATAAAGTCTCAGTAAATACATATTTGTAGTAGTATTCAGAATTGCCTTTCTCATTTCACCTAAGCCTCAACATTCTTTTGGGTTTTATCTTTCTGCTTTCCCTTCATTGTATCTCTGTAAGTTTTCTTTGCTCATCTTCTAGCTTTTCACTGTACCCCTTCACTCCCTTCTCTAGTTTACATTCCTTTTTAATTCATTTTCCATTATCTTATTTTTCTAATCCTCTTACCAATCCTTTTTGTTTCTTTGCCTATCTTTCTGGCTGTAAGGGTATGGTTTATAAAAATTTCACAGTGTAACCTGTTGTCACCATCTGATTGTGTGCCTTCCATTTAAAAATCATATCAGCAATTAAGTGTTAGCAATGAAAGTATGAAAGTTTACATGATATCCGTCTCACTAACACTGGCTATAGTTTAGTCACATGCCAAAGTTACATCAGAAGAAAGCTAAATTAATAAAAAGTTTTTACTGATGGTTCTATGATGGTTAGTATTGTTATGTTTTTTAAAATAAAGTCCAATGCCTTTATTTTGAAAATACCATCGTTATTTGATATTGGGAAATATAAAAAAATGTGAAATTGTATTGTGCCCGAGGAATTGGAAACATCATCATTCCTTTGTTAGTACTAAGGACCCAAACTGGAATTTTGCAAGGCTTTTTAGCTAAACAGTTACAGGATTAATAGGCATCTTAATAGTAAATTTTCTGATTGGTTTTCTTTTTGATGTGTGTTTACCTAGAGAGTTTATTTAGCAAACTGAGTGATGAATTGAGAGACTTGTTTTGTTTGTTTCAGGTGGATGGCAGGATGAAACCTGGCCAGATGGTTGGACTGCAGTGACGAGAGATGGAAAGCGTTCTGCTCAGTTTGAGCATACTCTGCTGGTAACAGACACTGGCTGTGAAATTCTGACCCGGCGACTTGATAGTACACGGCCTCACTTCATGTCCCAATTTTAGTTTCTTCTAAGATACCTTCTTACTGTACTATGCATTTTATTGAGAGTACAGAAAGGAAGAGGTAGTTTTTTATCACTTGTTTTGACTTCAGATAAGAATGTTCTACAGCATTTGGTGTGACTCAACTTGTCTTGAGTCTGAAAAAGCTGAGAAGAATAAAGGAAACATTGCTCGACTCCTTTCACTATTCCCCCTAACCCCTATTCTCTAAACAGCTGTTTTCTCATTTGCCCCTTGAGCACTTTTACTTAAACCCGCTTCTAGTTGCTTTTATCACTGCCACAGACTGGCCATCAAGATCCAGCTGCTTTCCAGTGAATGTTGAAGATGAAAATCCTTGAAACTCTTAACATCTGTTGCTCCAAATTTTTATTTTATATATATGTGGAAATATATATATATTTTAAATTCCATATACATAATTATGAACACTATGTGACCTTTGGTTGAGATTAACTACTCTGACAGGGTTACTTGCTGTCATAAATGGATCCATAGATTGTAGTGACTTAATTTCTAGTTGGGAATTGGCCTCCTCTCTCCTTCATGCAAATTATTTATACCTGTAATTGTGTGTAGGGAAGGGCTCAATGAGACCGTCTCCCCAGTGTGGACTTTGTGTCAGCAGATAAATGTGGTAAATTTGGTTCAGAAACATATCCATGCTTTTTAAAGTCTAGTTTGTGGCAAAAATAGCCATGCTCCACATGGTGGCTGACTGTTGCAAGACATGAGAATTTTGTAATGCACTGCTATTTCAGACTTCTATTTGGTCAGAAATGGGAGAGGAAAAGCCCCTCTTACTTCCCCTCTCTTTTATTTCAAAGGCATACCTTAGAGACACTTAGAAAGGGTGGAGATTGCACTGTGGAGGATGATGGGGATAGAATTCTAAAATGTTTCTTGATGTGAGCACAGTAAATCGGGGCTATGAGAGTCTTGACATTTAGTAAACCTAATAGTGATGAGGAAGGAACGTTTTTGAGTACTATAACCTTGCAGTAGGAATACTGCTACCTGTGGTGTGCTGAAAATACACCTATTCATAATGGAGAACCTCGTTAGAAAATAGCCATGGTTGTCCAGAATCCATTTCTTTCAACATTTATTCAGATACAAGTGTACACTGAAGATGGATCATTAAGTCATTGTCAGTAGATATTAGAGTGTACTTGATTACTGTGTATCTGATGACTTTCTTGTAATTTGATACCACTGAACATTATACTTGTAAAAGAACATCTTTCCCAGAGTGCCTCAGACCTTAATTGCTTTAAGAGAATTATAATGTTTTCATTACTTTTATTATTTTAATGATTTAGTAAAGTGACTAAATCTGCTATAGACTTTTGGGGGTATGTGTGTAAAGTTTTTATCAAGCTGTAATATTTGTGAATGGAATGCCTTGTAATATGAATGTTAATATAATGTGTAAAGGGAGATTAAAAAGTTTAATTATACTACCATGTAGTCATTAACTTTGCTTCATTTTATTTGGGATTTCAGAGGGAATTGGTGGAAATAGACTGATTTCATAATCAAAAACAAACTTGAAATCATTTGAGCACAAATACTTTCTCAGGAGTGAGCATACCATAATTGTAGTATTGTGCTTAATCTTTCAGCAACATCAGATTCAGCCATATTTTTGAGAGCTTTTTAAGACTAAGAACACTGAATATTTAGGAGAACATTTTATATTCTGATAATGGAATTAACAGTTGTGGGCTTATTCAGTGTCTATTAGAAAATAAGATCAAGGAAAAAATCTTGATAGGATAGTTTCATGGTAAAAAGATAGAAACATTACACTAATAATATAAATATGTAAAATATTACGTATTTTAAAACGTTGATTTCCTACTTTACATTTTAATACTAAAATATTTTAAAACACACTTCTGCTTTTATCTTGACACATCTTGATATTTTTGGCAGTCAATAGTATTTCAGTACACATTTAAAATGGAGGTGATTCTATGGTGAATTCTCCTTTGTTTTTATTTTTTGAGAGACAGGGTCTGGCTACGTAGTTCAGACTGGCCTTGGACTATGTAGCCCAGGCTGTCCTCAAACTTGCAGAGATCCTCCTGCCTTCACCTCCTGAGTGCTGTAATCCTCCAAATAGGATTACAGGCATGGGCCACCAAGCCAAGCTCTCTTTTTTAAGCACAGATATTTGTTGTTTTTTTAATAAAACAGAACAATTTTGTCAGCTCTTCTATAACATGCTTAAGTCAAAGCATATTGAAGAGCTGACAGTGAAAAACCAAATGGATAGTGCTAACTTTGTGGGTAACACACAATCCCTAAGCTACGGTTATAAAACTTATTATTTTTCATTTAGTGTTTCAACTATTCATCCGTTTAAACCAGCATGCTTTTCAAACTGTTAAACTCTGCTGCTCACTTCAATTATTGTTTTAAAAGTACATTTATGAGCTCTTGATGGCATTATTGTGGGGTGATGGAAACAGGAAGTGGAGCATAGCTGAAGCAAGTGAATCTTGGGACTCTTACCTTGAAGAGATCTCATCCCCAGCCTTTCCCACCTTTTTTCCCCATTTTTTTCTTCTTGGCAAGGCTGGCACAGTACCACTGAGCTAAATCCTTGGCCCATTTTTTTCTTCTTGGATACCATGAAGTGAGTAGCTTTCTTCCACCATGCTTTTCCACAGAAAATGTTCCATTTTCACAGACTCAAAGGTAGTGAAACCAGCTGACCCTTGGATTTTTTCTGTAATTGTACTCATGTTTCATTTGCTGGTCATCCTGGTTTCTTCAAAGTTTTCCCATATCGCATCTCTGTAGAGCTTCTTTGGGATGGATCCAGCAAAGCCCACTCCTTCCTGGTGAAGGTCACTGTGTGGCTGGAAGATCTTCTCGGGTCCTTCCCATACAGCCTACAGCCATTAGATATCCTAATGCACAATGACCTACCCTGCTGGGCGGTCTCAGCACTGTGCTCAGGCTCTTCCTACTACGTGTATTTACCCCATACACATGCAATTTTGTTCATTGTCTAGTTTTGAAACAGTCTGCTTATGGGCCCAATCTGATGGCTTTGTTCTCATAAAATCTTACCAAAAGAAACCTGTATAATGGAAGACAACCATGTATGTCCTGTGGGTTAAGAAGATAAAATTGCTTTGGGTGAGTTTTATTATCAAAATAGCTGTTTAAAGTTTTTCAAATGTATTGTGAACTTTTCCTCAAAAAGTATTTGTTGACAAAAAAATTGATCTTGCATCTAATTAAAACCAAACTAGCTGACTCCAAAGTTGGTCTTTTTCCTACGTTAGCAGTATTTCTCTAAGCCTAAGTAACTTATTCTTAAGATGTTGTTTATCAGCCCTATTGGGCAGATTGATGGCCAAGCAGAAAAAGTTATGAATCATTCTGTGCATGTAAAATGAAGTTTCCCCTTCGCAAATTAACAGGCAAGTGAGTTCGAACAATAGAGATGCGCCACACTCTGTGTCAGATTCAAGCCCATTTATTATAGCCGGCAGTTGAGGAGGGGCAAGCACCCAGAAAGTTTCCTGAGCAATGGGGAGCAGTTTGATTTCTCCTTTTAAATCATGCTTTCGGTTGGGGAGGGCTCAGGGGAGAGCAAGCGGAATCTTACAGAAGCAGAATCATGCCAGGTTAGTGGGGGGCAGGGAAGTTTCACACACTAGATGAGCTACAAAACATCTGCAACTGCAGCAAGTTTACTGCCAAGCAGGATATGGGGGTTTTGGGTGCTTTGTTCAAGCACAAGCACTTTGTTCAAACAGGTACAAAATGTCATTGAGGCACAAGATGGAGTCAGGGTGGCTATCACAAAGTCAGTTACCAGGTAAGTATAATTTTGCATTGAAATAAGTGGGACGTACCCATGTATATTTTTTGATGCCATCTTTGTTTTGTGCAACATGTATACACATTAACTGGTTCCACTGAACTTCCACCCCAAATGACCCTATCAACCCATACATTCTACTTTGTTAGTTTATTGTGCATGTAATAAAAAAAGTGTCTTTCTCCACTAAGTATCCCTAGGTATGTTAAATAGAAAACAAAATAGCCCAATAGGCTAAAAATGGAAATGTAGTGAAGATTTGAAAAATGCTAAACAAATGAAAATTTCCTAAACAAATTTACATCCTTAAATTTATAAAATACCTGTTATACTAGCTTTCATGAAATACCATGGGAGTTAGTATCTATTTGTATTGAAATTACTTATCTTTGTCCAAGAAAGCAGTTTGAAGACTTTCAAAAATTTTCCAACAATCTTTTCAAAATTGTAGAATTCTAATTTACAAGATAGATTTGTTGATGTGCACATAGGAAGTTTTTAGCACTGTGCTTATCTGTACTTTATTCCAAAAACTATTTGATTCAGCAGCATGCACAGCATCCTAGATTCTACCAAAAATCATGTACTAAAAGGATCTTTTTTTTTAAAAAAAGTTTTTACACCTTTAATTGAATCCTATGATTCAAGCATCTTTATAGTAAGGATCTTGGAAAATGTATTCCTTATACTTTTTAGCCAAGGAAACTGTCAACTGAGTATGTATATAACTGTGACAAACAAAAAGTAAACTGAGCCAATCATAAGAATTGGAATGACAGTATTATAAAATCTTAATGCTTTCCATTTTTATATTGGAGAACACAAATTGTATGCCATTCCTACTCATGTATATTTCATATATTTAAAAAAAGGAGAAAAGTTTAAAAAACAAAATACTGCCTAACTTCCACCTTTTATATATAGAATGAATAAAATGGGCAGAAAAACCATGAGAATAAATACAGCATAAAAAAGATGACAACATGCAAATGCAGAAATTACTTTTATTATGTTCAAATATTCCTCGTAATGAGCTTGAGGTGCTTATATGAAAGGTATGGTCTAGAAAACAGATTTGTGGTTGTATGGAGCCATGTCCTTGATTACTGACACTTGTGAACTATAACTACACATATAACAGGATTCCCTGGATTAGTAACTGCAAGTCTCAGAGGCGGTCAACTTGGAGGATCTCCGTGCCTGTCAGGCTACTCTCAATCAGATCACAAAACTTGGGTACAGATGGAGATATTTTTCTCTTGAATTTAAATCTTTATAACAGTTCGAATGCTATAAGAGAAGAAAGTAATACATTTTGGAATGACAATCTTTTATGACAATAATTTTGTTCACCTCTTTTATAAACCTCAATGATCACTATTATATTTGGTAAGTACCTAAAGAGAAAACTTACCTCTTCCCTGAATGCAGCAGTTCAAAGGCCTCATTAATTTGGTCAAAGGACAGACTGCCAGTCACAAATTCATCCACTTTTATCTTTTTGGACATATATTCAGACACCAAATTTGGAACATTTTCTACACTCTTCCATCCTAAAAGTCATACGAACATGTTAGTTTATGCAACAAATGTTATACAACATTTCTAGAGTATGCTTATTAGTGGATGATAAATTTAAAAGCAAATTTTTTGGATAAGTGCAAGAGTCATGAATACAAAAAGTATGAAGTGGAGGAAGAATTTCACACACATCTTTAGTTATGAAAGAAATAAATACTTGTATTTCCTTTTTATGTATTTAAGATTTTACTGAAGTCTCATTAAAGTTTTGGCTAAAAGATTTCTACACAGCAAAACGAAACTCTTGAAGTCAGAAAGACAAAACCTGATACAATACGTGACCTTTTCCTAGATCTTAAATTCAACAATGAACTAAATAAGGGTAGCATCTTAGAATAGAAAGCCATAAAACTAAAAAAGTAGGAAATCTTTAAGTGAATTTGAAATAAAAGCAGATCCATTTCTTGTAGGAGAAGCAATTAATCCATGAAGAAGCCTTTGTCTCAGTTAAGGATGCTTTGAACCATATTTCAAACCTCTTTTGAGCCTTTTCCAAATAACTTCTTTTTTTATATCCTATATCAATTATTTTTTTCCCTACAATCAAGGAAACTTTTAATTTAAATCTACCTTGTAATGTAGACAACTACTGTATTAAGTATGTGCAACTTGTGGCCCAGGGTTAGATATGCCTGTGTTATACTAAGATTTATATATGAGATTTGCTACTTACATACATTAACTATATTATATATTTTATATGCAGCCCGATACAATTCCTCTTCACTCACTGTAGCCCAGGGAAGCCTGGCATGTTTAATAGCTGTAAGTAGGGCAAAACTTCTTACATCTTTAGGTCAGTGGTACCTTGGTTCACCAACTTGATTTCACGATTCTGCTTGCAAACCAAGTTGGATGAGAACTGAATCAAATTTAATGGTTAGAATCAATGTTGACTTTATGGGGAAATTTGATTCGGTTCTTGTCCAGTTCGTTTTGCGACCAAAATGGTGGCAGAGAGGCACCACGGTATTGTACTTCAGCAATGCAGGGACTTGCACTGTTCCAGTGAATATCCCAACAGGTATGTACTAGGAAAAAGCTTCAATTAGATGATACTACCAAACCTCACTTGGTTCAGTTACCAGGATTAGAACGCCCTTTAATGTATAGTAAGTTGATGCTTCTGAGTACCATGTGTGGGTTTAAGTCTGCTGTGGGGCAAATATGGCACACATCTATGGAAAGGGTAGCCAGACTGATGCTAAGGTAAACAGTAAAAAGGAGGAAAATTTTGTCCAGCCCTCATTTTAGCATACTTTCCAAAGGTTTTCTTCTGCCTTGGGGTTCTTAACAGACATCTTGTAAAACACAGATCATTCAAACCTCATGTGACCCTTTTTTCCCGTAAGTGGATAGAGATTTCAGTGAGGAGCAGTGTGGATAAGAGCAGCACAGCTGCAGACAGATGAAACAGGGCCCTGCACTGCCCCAGCCACATGGGCACACAGGCCCAAGCCAAGGGCCTGCCTGGAAAACAGCTGCACAGGCTCACAAGCAACAGCCAGAGGCTCGCTGCGATACCATCAGTAAGTGTGTGGAGACCCTGGCCAGAAGCCCACTTAGACCAGGGAATGGGGTGCACAGCCACCAGCCAGAGGCCCTCCCAGACAACAGCTACGTAGGGGGGCAGGCCCTAGCCAGAGGTATATCCAGATACCATCCCAAGTATACACAGGCCCCAGCCAGAAGCCTGCCTAGACAACAGGGCAGCTCAGGGATTCACAAGGCAACTCTTCTGAACCCAGGAATTGGTGCACTGGTGAGCAGCAGAAAAAAAAGCCACTTAGTGGCTTGCTGAGAATTGAAGACCACTGGGTGAGCAAAAGTTGCCTAGAAAAGGCACAGCAGACTGCATCTGTTGAATGAGAGGACACATAAACAAATCTCAAAATCAGACTTACAGATCACCTAAGGCAATCCCAAAAGGCAATGAGATGGAATGATCTGATACTCAACCACCTAGACTCCCTGAACTGGCAACAAAACAGGATCTGGAAAAAATGAAATCAGAAATAATTTCTCAGATAACAGCCGACATTGTGCCCATAGTGCAAGACATGATAAATCTAGAGAGGACACAGATAAAAATATGAAGAACCTAAGGATCATGATGGAATCCCCACATAGAAAACAAATGGAATCCATAAAACAGATGCAAACAGATTTCCAGGAGATTAAAAACTCCACTGAAAGTTTATGCAGCAGAATGAGCCAATG